GTACAGATATCACATAGCTATTGGCAGATCAGTGTCAACGTTTATCTGAAAAAGTGCGACATTATAAGAGCTACAGGATTAGATTTTTGACAAGGAAACGGAACACCCATTGCTAAGAAACACGTCGATTTGATAGATAATCAAGACTTTGCATATCTATTAAAAACTCTTAGGTAAATCCATTTTTTTTCCTCAAAAAGAGTATGTTACAATTGATTCGTCAGCATAAAGGTATAGTAAAAAAAAGAGTCAGCATTATGAAATGCAACATGCGAAAACTGGAAGGAGAAATGAAAGACAATGTATAATAAACGCAGAGTGGGTAATCCTTTCCCTAAACGATTATCGCTACGAAACCATACGAAATGCTACGAAGTGGAAAGGAAAGAGAGAAGAGGAAAAAATAAATAAATGCGAGCTAATGGATGAAATATAAACCAAGTAGTGCTTATTATATCAAACCACGTCAGTTACGAATAAGAAGAGTTGAAAAGAGAAGAGAGAAGGAGAGGGAGAGAGAGAGAGAGAAAGAGAGAATAATGGTCTTGTGTATAGCCTACACAAGAGGAACACAGATAACGAAACAGAAGGTCGAGATAGCTCTGTAACCATACGTAATAAAGTATACTGTAATGTATTTTGTACAATGTCCTGGTTACGTTATAGAATTATATGTATTAAGGAACGACTGCAGTGATAAGATATAACGAGTGCAACAAAATGAGAGAATTGCAAGAAAAATAAATTTATAGGCAATAAGAGAAACAGGTAGAAACTGGCTTCATTAATTCCAGACACATTTTCGACGTCGTTGGAATATGTTAAAAAATACCACGAAAGCATCTCAGATTTTACCGTAGTGTAAAACAACACAGTACATTTATATATTTCTTACAGTGTAACACATACAATTAGAGCTTTATAGAAGTCTTAAAATAATATCATTTGTGCTCAGTAGAATTGTCCATCCTATATTTTTTCACACAGATTCGTTAATTAATTATCATAACATTCACTATAGCGCGCATTCTAGTCACACCCACGTATGATGCAATGAACAGCTTTATAAAGCCACTAATATCTATTCCTCATCCACGAAACCTCATCCAAAGCAGATCACTAGTTTTTAAGAATAAAATAACCATACAGTCGGGAGTTTTGATCGATCCTTATTATTATCATTATCATTATTATTAATTATTATTTTCTCTTATCCTTCCTTCCTTTCTTTCTTTCTTTTACTCGTTCCACGTGTTCCGTTTTGCTACGAGAGATCTTGGAAGTCTCCCTGTTGATTGCGTCGCCGCTGGGGGTGGGGGGTAGGGTTTCAAAAGCGGTGACGAAAGCCGATCACTCCCCTCCCCCCTTCGCTCGTCTGTCGCCTTTCTTCTTCCCTCTTTCGGTCCTGCAGCCTGAAAATGTGAAAGAAATGATTATTAATAATATATATTTCAGTTTTACAATACCAATATGATTAAGTTTTTTTTTTTTTTTTTTAATTGAAGCCTATTCATTTCCGTTTTACATTATTATCATTGAATTCTATTGCTGGTTTTGTTGCATCTGTGTAGAACATGAACATTTGATCGCAGTTCATTTATGTTGCTAGTTGTTTGAGCTATTCTAATTGAGAATCGCAATATTACTTTCTTAATAAAACATGCAAAGTATTTCCAAATCACTAATCCTTCAAAAAAGTTTTTTTTTTCTATTACGAGAGACTTATGAACAAAGTAAGAGGAGGTGGCATCTATGCTATCGTGTCTCGGGCGTAAATTAACTCTTCTTATCTATTTGTATGTTTATCGCCTTCTTTCCCTCCCTTCCTTTTCCGATCTTTGTGTTTGTCGCCTCCTCTCTTCCTTCCCTCTTTTCTTCCTTTCTTTCTTCCTTTGTAAAGAACATCCAACCCATTCTTAATTTATTCTCTTTTCACACACCCTTCCTTCTCATCCTCCTCTTCTTCTCCCTCACCTTCTCTTCCTCTCTTCCTTTTTACCATCCTTCTACCTTTCCAAAGTACACCCAACCCATCCTCTTCTTATTCACCATTCCTCCTCCTCGTCCTTCTCCTCCTCCTCTTCTTCCTCTCTGAATCTCTTCTCTCACCCCTTCTTACTCACCCTTCCTCCTCCTCCTCATCTTCTTCTTCCTCTTCCCGTCTCTTCCCTCCTTCCCCCTCCAACCCCATCCCCTTCTTACTCACCCTTCCTCCTCCTCCTCCTCTTCTTCTTCCTCTCCGAATCTCTTCTCTCGTCCCCTTCCTCCTCGCCTCTCTCGCCCTCCGCCGACCCAACGGCCACCTCGGGAGCGTCCGGTTGCTCGCTGTCGACCCGATCGCCTTCCGCCACCGAGTTCGGGGTCGTGACGACAACACCCAGGTCCTGAAGCCGGTGCAGGCGTTCGCGGCGTTCCTTCAGCTTCTTCTGCTTGCGCCTGTCCTTCCGCTGCTTCCCGCGCTTGCCGGAGTCGAGCTTGCAGTCGTCGGTTTTGGTGCCGTCTGTGGAGGGCGGAGGAGAGGGAGAGGTAGTGGGTGGGAGTCAGGGTGGGCGTGATGGCGGAGTGCTATGGTGAACGTGGTCGTTATGAGGTCACGGCGTAATGAGGATGATATTGATAACGTTGGCAATAGTGGCGTTGATAATGGGAGGAATTTATTAATAATGATGATAATAATGATAGCAATAATCGAAATAATAATAATGATAATGATGATAAGAATAAGAAGAAGAATGACAGTTAAATGACAATGGCAATATGACAATATCATTGATGACGAATATGTTATATAAGGATAAAATAATAATCATAATAATAATAATGATTATGATAATGATAATATTTATAATATTGATAATGATGATAATGATAATAATATTGATGATAATCATAATAACAACAGTTATATTAACGATAATAATAATGGTAATAATAAGAATAAGAATGAAAATTATAATAATAAGAATAATAACAATAATTACTATAATAGTAATAAAGATGATGATAATGATACCAATAATGATGTGATGAGAATTATTATGATGACAATGACATTAACAATAATAATGATAATGATGAAGATGAGGAGGAGCAGGAAGGGGATAATGATAATGACAATAACGATGATAATAGTAATAAAAGTAATGATGATGATTATGATGATCATAACAATAATATAATCAATAATAATAATAGCAATAACAACAATGACGTTGACAATAATAACTGATGACAATAATAACATTAATAAGGATCATGATAATCATAATGATATATAAATAAACTATACAATAAGGAAAGAGGAAATAGTGTAGGGAGATTAGAAGGAAGAACTAAAGCAAAATGAAGACAATTATAATAATCAAAATGGTAATAATAATGATAATGATGATGATTATAATAATGACAAAGTCTGTAATGATAATTGAAGAAGATGATGATGATGATGATGATGATGATAAAAATAATGGTATTATTGGAGAAAAGCGTAAACATAAAATCCAGGGAAACTAACCTTACAGTCGTGAAGTTTTTTAATTTTCTAAACTTTTTTCTTAAATAATCTTATCTCGCAATCGAATCATAAACAAGCTATTTAATTTTCAAAATAATAAAAATAAAATATATTAGTCTTGTTCTTTCCTCTTCGCGAGCTCAGGAAAAACTGATCAATTTCGCTACTGCGCATGCGCGGAGTCAATCGTACGTGTAGTATTCGTGTTATTTTTCCAGTGACGTCACGACTAGTGCCATCATTTGATTGGCTAAATGTTTGGCGGTTATTTTTTCCACGAATAGGGAAACAGGCGGAAACAAAGGATACGGAAGCAACCAATCAATGGACAATATTAAGAAAGAGCGGTTTGGTAAATTAAAATTCGAAGTCAGTCTCACCATGGCTTCGCTTTGTGATGGATGTTACAACAAGCCCATGAAACTTATCAAATTATATTTTGAAGATAACGAAGCTAGCTTGGAAGTTCTACGGAATCACGGTGTTCTTCCTTCGCAAGTACTTTGCAAGCATTGCAATTTACCGTGCACGCTTCGTGATGGAAGGTGGTTCTGCAGCCGCTGGACAAAAATTGCAAAAACTAAAAGGCGGAAGCAGTGCTCCTTCACTGTAAGTGACTATAAGGGGACATTCCTCGAAAACGCTCACGTCGCTCCCTCAGATCTGGTGGTTTTTATTGTGTTTTTTTTAGAAAAAATTTGGAACCACCACATTGTATTTGAAAACCTCGGTTGGGCAGAGGGAACCAGCGTTGACTGGCGTAGCTTCTGCTCAGAGGTTACACAGAACTGGCTTAATAATCAAGAAGCAATTGGAGGACCTGAGGTCGTCGTAGAAATTGACGAGTCCTGTTTTGGCAAGAGGAAGTACGGCCGCGGGAGGCAGCTGAGCAACATCTGGGTGTTCGGAGGAATTGAGAGGGAATCTAAGAAATCTTTCTTGGTTCCTTTGGTCCCTCCTCTTTCTACCAACAGGAACAAGGAAACACTCGTTCCCTTGATTAAGAAATTTATTCTCCCTGGCTCCATCATTTGTAGCGACGGTTGGGGAGCGTACCTTGGTCTCGACGAGGAGGGATACACCCATCGAGTCATTAATCATTCGGAGGAGTTTGTGGATCCTGGTGACAGGTCAATTCACACGCAGAACATTGAGAGATTGTGGCGGGACGTTAAGGAGTGGGTGAAACGTCCTGGGAACCGGCCACAATACTTTCAACAGTATCTATCGCGGTATTTGTTCATCAGGAACACGAAGCACCTGAGGTTCCACAAATTCCTCACCGAAGCTGCTCGGCTGTACCCTCCCCAATCAGAGCGACGAAACGTCGCCCCTGCCGTCGCCCCTGCCTCAACGGACTCGGACCCCGACGACCCTCAACCTGGTCCCTCTTCTGCTTAGGTATGTTCGATAGTTTTATTTTAAATTCCCCCAAAAAATGTAATAGGTCTTTAAGTAAGGAAAATACTCGGGGTCCGGGGCGGAGCCCCGGCTGGGGAATACCCCGAACACCCGGGGTCCGGGGCGGAGCCCCGGCTGGGGAATACCCCGAACACTCGGGGTCCGGGGCGGAGCCCCGGCTGGGGAATACCCCCAACACTCGGGGTCCGGGTTAGGTTAGGGTAACCTAACCCCAGCCGGGGTTAGGTTAGGAATACCCCCAAACACTCGGGGTCCGTTAGGTTAGGTTAACATTGCTTTTTTCTGGGGAGGTTAGGTTAGGTTTTATAGGTTTGTCTGCATGCCCCCCAATACCCGGGGTCCGGGGCGGAGCCCCGGCTGGGGAATACCCCCAACACTCGGGGTCCGGGGCGGAGCCCCGGCTGGGGAATACCCCCAACACTCGGGGTCCGGGGCGGAGCCCCGGCTGGGGAATACCCCCAACACTCGGGGTCCGGGGCGGAGCCCCGGCTGGGGAATACCCCCAACACTCGGGGTCCGGGGCGGAGCCCCGGCTGGGGAATACCCTCAACACTCGGGGTCCGGGGCGGAGCCCCGGCTGGGGAATATCCCCAAACACTCGGGGTCCGTTAGGTTAGGTTAACATTGCTTCTTTCTGGGGAGGTTAGGTTAGGTTTTATAGGTTTGTCTGCATGCCCCCTAATACCCGGCTGCGGAGCCCCGGCTGGGGAATCCCCCCCCCCCCAACATTCGGGGGGGGGGGGGGGGCTGGCGGAGCCCCGGCTGGGGAATACCCCCAACACTCGGGGTCCGGGTTAGGTTAGGGTAACCTAACCCCAGCCGGGGTTAGGTTAGGAATACCCCCAAACACTCGGGGTCCGTTAGGTTAGGTTAACATTGCTTTTTTCTGGGGAGGTTAGGTTAGGTTTTATAGGTTTGTCTGCATGCCCCCCAAACCCGGGGTCCGGGGCGGAGCCCCGGCTGGGGAATACCCCCAACACTCGGGGTCCGGGGCGGAGCCCCGGCTGGGGAATACCCCCAACACTCGGGGTCCGGGGCGGAGCCCCGGCTGGGGAATACCCCCAACACTCGGGGTCCGGGGCGGAGCCCCGGCTGGGGAATACCCCCAACACTCGGGGTCCGGGGCGGAGCCCCGGCTGGGGAATACCCTCAACACTCGGGGTCCGGGGCGGAGCCCTGGCTGGGGAATATCCCCAAACACTCGGGGTCCGGGGCGGAGCCCCGGCTGGGGAATACCCCCAACACTCGGGGTCCGGGGCGGAGCCCCGGCTGGGGAATACCCCCAACACTCGGGGTCCGGGGCGGAGCCCCGGCTGGGGAATACCCCCAACACTCGGGGTCCGGGGCGGAGCCCCGGCTGGGGAATACCCTCAACACTCGGGGTCCGGGGCGGAGCCCCGGCTGGGGAATATCCCCAAACACTCGGGGTCCGTTAGGTTAGGTTAACATTGCTTCTTTCTGGGGAGGTTAGGTTAGGTTTTATAGGTTTGTCTGCATGCCCCCTAATACCCGGCTGCGGAGCCCCGGCTGGGGAATCCCCCCCCCCCAACATTCGGGGGGGGGGGGGGCTGGATATGTATACACAAGTGACGAACATACTCGGCAAACGTGATAATACCACAAACAGATAAAATGACGTAGCGATAATCTCGAAAACATTGATAAAATTACAGATTTTCGACTTGTTTACTCAGCTGTCGAGTACGTTTCCGTATTCTCGAATGCAAACAAAAGACGACCAACAATAATATACGCGCAATAACAGTGATTTCTTATGAAATAATTGAATTAGTCTAATTTAAAATATGGTATTTTTATGATTTTTAGAAATATAAGCGATCGGTCTCTATATACGTAAAACCGCATTTGCGATGGATACGATAGCCAGATTCAACCTAACCAAAACAATAGAAATCGAACGAATCTAGTCTCGCCGTCGAAGGTAGTGTTAATGATTACGAAGATGATGATAATGATAATGATGATGATAATAATAACAATAATAATAAAAGTAATAATAATAATATGTATGTTACCCCTTTCTTCAATTTCAATCAAAGAAAACGAAGATATATTAGGGTACACTACACTAAAACGTTACATCATATTTTGGCTTTTGGTAAGAAGACTCTAGGAAACGAAGGTAGCAAAATACCAGCATTAAAAAGAGGAAAATGTTAATAGTAGTGATACTAATAATGATAATAATAATAATAACAATAATAATGATATTATTAATAATAATAATAATAATAATAATAATAATTATAATAACAATAACAATAATAATAATAATAATAATAATAATAATAATAATAATAATAATGATGATGATGATAATGATAATAATAATGATAATAATAATAATAAATATTATTATTATTATTATTATTATTATTATTATTATTATTATTATTATCATTATTATTATTACTATTATTATTATCATTATTATTATTATTATTATTATTATTATTATTATTTTTATTATTATTATCATTATCATTATTATTATTATTATTATTATTATTATTATTATTATTATAAAAATGATAATAACAATA